TGGACCACAGTGATTTCGAAATTTAATCTTAGATTTGAGTTAAAATAAACACCGCAATACTCAATCCGACTGGCCCAGTCAGGCAAAATGGTCAACAAGTGAAAATTCCTAAAATTACTAGTCCAATTGACTATTTTGCTATACGAATTCAAATAATTTGGAGAGAGTTGCATATTGAAGAGGCGATGCTGATGAATATTGTATAATTCAGCGTGAAAAGCGGGTATAACTCCTTTAACTGCCTTGTCTTGTCCCTTTCTCCACTCACCCTACCTCCCATGCAATCCTCCATTCCATGCCTCTTTTCGCCATCAGAAAACGCAATCTGGTCTTATACAGAAAGCCATAGAACAAAGAATTACAAATCGATGACAAACCAAAAAGCCTCTCTCTAACCCAGAACCCATTAGCAGACACTGATGTAGTGTGTTGCACCCAATTGCGACCCATTAGCAGACATTGATGTAGTGTGTTACACCCAACTCCTCGACGTCTCCCCATGAACCCATTAGCAGACACTGATGTAGTTTGTTTCCCAACTGCTCGACTTCAGACACCAAAAAGCCTCAGCAGACATTGATGTAGTGTGTCGCACCCAACTGCTCGACGTCAGACTCTCCCCATGAACCCATTAGCAGACCCAAAAAGCCTCTCTCTACCCATGAACCCATTAGCAGACACTTCTCTCCCCATGAACCCATTAGCAGACGTTGATGTAGTGTACTCCCCATGAACCCATTAGCAGACACTGATGTAGTTTGTTTCCCCGCTCACTGGCCCTTGAGACAATCAATGAACTATCCTGCAGATCAATGGCTCCAAGTCTTCGCTGATGAGTCATACATATAAAACCAAGCAAACATTGGTGCAGGTGTCTTTTCAAAACTCTTCTCTTTCTACGCAGCAGTGGGACACAATAGATCCGCTTTCGAAGGAGAAATAGAGACCATTAGGATAACACTATGCCAATTATGTTGCCTGGATACGAAATTCACCAAAGCGGTGATACTTTCGGCCTCACAGTCAGCAATAAACTCAATTGGAAACAGAGGGACACCCTAAACAGCTGAGATAAAGGAATGTAGAAAAGTCAATCACCTGCAGAGAGAGAAAAACAAAATAGTGGTCCTACAATGGATTCCTGGTCACTGTTGCATTGAAGGCAATGAGTTTGCTGACACGCTTGCCAAGAAGGTGACAACGATTTTGCAATGCATGGACCGGCCAATGTCTTTCCACACAATGAAGGCCTTAATCAGAAGAGAATTCCAGACCTCAAGAAGCAACGAACTCAAAGCTCGAACAAAGGTGAAACAGTGGACAGTGGCATTTTCTGACATATCCGACTGGCCAAGAATCGAAGCCGTTGCTGAGTTTAGACTACGTACCACCTGATTCGGTGTCCAGTCCTAAAAACAACGACGGAAAGCCAGAGATACTGGGAATCAAGAAGACGGCTAATGAACTGCTATTAATGTACCCCCCCCCACCATTGGGGGAAGCTGAAGTCAAAATTTGAGGGCTAATGATAAATATCACAAAGCCTGCCATTTGAAATAATAATACCTCTTTTTGCTATCTTCCTAGTGTCTTTACTCAGATGCTTGCCCATAAGTAATATTTTTCCTCACAAATGCACAATAATACGTACTTGCAATAATAATAATAATAATGACAATAAATAACTTTTGTGAATCTGACGCCTATCACAATACTTAAATTCACAATGGCACTATATTATTTATTTATTTATATCAAACGGCTTCACAGAGGGAAAGGAACATCAAAATGAAAAATGTCGAGAGGAAGGGCACTGAAGAGTGCTTCAACGTCGAGGGTTGCAGATTTAAGAAAAATGTGATGTTGTACAGTGGAAGTGGTCGAAAATGTCATACAGTGGGGTCATGGGAGTTTGAAGTCAGAAGTCAGCTGCCGATTAATAGACTTTTTTGCCGTATGAGTGTACGTTGCCCATGGTGCACCACGTGGAGGTAAGTCTATCACACAACCCACAATAGCACTATTTTATTACACCGCAAATGAGAGTTGTATTGGGTTGATAAAATTATTTATTAACATGCTATTGTCAATATAAAATATTTATATTTCCTTTAATTTTTTGGAATCGGTTTTAACTCCAATCGATAAATCCGGATAGGTTGTAACCTTTGCGAATCACATCTCCATAGTTTTAGGCGCTTTGTCGTAGGAGTCTTTCTTCGATGCTAATTGGGGACATTGTCTACTGGAGAGGGGCTTCTAAAGTCCACAGTGGCATTTCCCCGGTGGCAAGATGGAGAGCAATGAATTCCATGTCCACTGCTTGATAGGGGAGTTGAAGGAGGAGCTCTCCTTTAACATGTCCTCCCATATCAGGGAGGACCTATGTGTCTCCATCTCACACGCCTCAAGGGATGTCTGTGCCTACTTTGTGGAGGCTGCATCTGCCAAAGTGGCTTTCAAACCTGCCAAGAGATATGAAATAAAGGTTAGTGAGTTGACCCACCATGCAACTTCTCTTGCAATCTGAAGAAGTGAACAATAGAAAATAAGGGAAAGAGAGTTGGCACTTTCCAGATGACACTAATATATCCGATGTAGTCCAAATCATGTCAACTACGTACATTGCATCAGTTGGAGGTTAGGGAGAAGAAGGGCAGAGATCCTAGTTGCAGGTGAACGTGGATTCGGAACTTTCCAAAAAATATGTTGAATCATCAGCTGGTGGTGCAACCCTGAAGCAAAATTTACAAAGTGGGTAAATTATTGCTTTGGTTCCTATTATTCCACCTGTAGAGTTACCGTTTTGGAAACGTTTCAATAAAGTGAAAGTGATCGCCTTCAAATTGAAATATTCCCAGCGTCAACGCCACTGGATCTGCAGTTTTTTTTCATAATCACCACTGTACAATACACAATTTTGACTCGAATAAACTGAAATAGTGCGAGGTGTAGTCTTCTCAGCTAATCGCATATTAATATTCATTCAAATTACGTTAAAGCTATTCCACATACGAATCGTATTTGCTATAATATCAAAATCCAATAATCGCTTTTCTCACAAGAAGTCTATCCTGGAGCAATTTTGACTAATTCTAGTAGCCTTAACAAACCAGGATACTTTGCCAACAACATTCCTGTGGATAGCGCATGACTCGTTTGTGTAGCAATCTGCTACAAAAGTACTTCAAAATCACCTTTGCGTGCATTTGTCACTTTTTTTTGTGGATTGGCAGCTGACGAGGCGCTTCCACAGCTCACATTGCCAGGATGGCTCTCAATAAATTCTGAGACAATTGCCTGACAAGGAAGCCAAACGAAGACCTCTCATTTGATTTTGCCTAACATATCTGGAGGTCCTATATGCATTCGTTCCACACACCCCAATGAGTATGCTTACATGCTCTGCTACCATTCAGTATGTCAGACAAATGGCCAATGTGAATCCAACCTGCATTAGACACAGGCATTCCGAGGGAATTGCTAAAGCTGTCTTGTCATTAATTCATACAACTTGGACTGCCACGTCTTGTAAAGGAAATGCTGGGATTATTGGCCAACTTCATTTTGTCGGACGCTCTCCAGGTTTCGTTTAATGATAGCACGAACCACTTCTACCGATCTTGCGTACTTCAAGCTTGGATATGCCTTGAAATCCTCGCTAAAATCTGGACTATTTTCAAGATAATCTTCTATGTATGCTCCGCTGTGTTGTGAAGATGATGGAAATTCCTAAATTAACTCAGCCTTCAACCAGGGCCAGTAGTGCAGCATCAATTCTAGTAACTAAAAAGCAGGGAGAAATTTAGAATCACCAAATGATCGGCCACTAGAAGAAACAACATTACTTACCACATTGAATTTCGCCTCACTTCGAGAATCCGCATTATATAAACACGACCCAAAACAAATTGCGATGCAATTAGAGCTACAATAGTTCTCGTTTTCGAGTGCCACTATCCGTCGGAGGTGATGGAAGAGGGAATATAGAATACAAATTGAAATTGTTCGATTCGCTTGTGACTCCAACATCGTAAGTTGTTTACTTCGTCTTTATAATTGAAGCTCTAACTCTGTTGATAACCTAAGACTTGCCTTTATTTTAGTCTGTTCTCAATCCTCATTCCATGCTTTCTCTACCCACATGGAATGGTATTAGAGCTTTGACTGGGGTCTTCAAAGCGTTTCTTCGTCGTCTGGCGGAGCCTATCTGCGATCCTACATCGTGTGCACAACTAGCCGACACACTTTCCGAAGAAACGGAAGAAATGAGCAAATCTTCCCTTTTCACAAATCTTAAGAATATTCGCTTGAATCTAATTAAGGTAATGTTTATTAGTTTGTTGTGAAAATGGAACCAGTTAAGTGCGAATTTTTAATACGTACGTATAATATATGACCTTGAATGGCTTCTTCTTCCTACTTAAGTTATTTGTCATGATTGTCCATATTTCCCCCATTCAACTCAACTGTTAGTGAGATCTATAATATTTCCCTTCTACAGGACCGCTCTGCGACATCGATAAATTGCAATTACGCTTTGCAATCTTAGATTTCCTCTTCAATCACCTCCTACATTGAAGATTTCCTTGAAAACGGCCCAGACTTTAGCGAGGATTTCAAGGCATATGCTAGCTTGAAGTACGCAAGATCGGCAGAAGAGGTTCTTGGTATCGTTAAAAGAATCTTGGAGAGCGTCTGACAAGATGAAGTTGGCCAATGATCTCAACATTTTCTTATAAAAGACTCTTCCCCCGCCCCGCCCCCCACCCCCACCCCCACCCCCTCCGCCATCATCCCCACCTCCACTTCCCCTGACACTTGTACAGTTTTGAATTTGAAATAAATAAATTTTTTCCTACTTCTTTCTCTTAAGCGTAAACTACTTAATCGACCTTAGCGAGTTGTCGTGGATAAAATTGTTGGATGTCAGACGGGTGTTGAACCTGGAGAACATTGGGCCAACGATATTTTCTATTCCTTATCCTAAACTCTCAAGGTAGCGTAATATCGTGTTTATCAAGATATATCACAAAGTTGAGGCCAAACCATCTTTTAAAGATTTTAGGAAATAAAATTAAGCCAATCGACTTATTATGTCAGTGTCTCTTCTGTTAATGAATCGTTCAGAAATATTGAGTGCCATAGCTTTCCGTAATGAAAACGTCCTCTTTAAAATTGAAGTAATCGAATGCAAGTCTAGCGGGTTCAATACCACACCGTTGATGTTTTAAACACGTGATGACTATTTCCAGGACTGTATGCGCCTGTTTGCACTGACTGTCGACGACAGTAACTTTGAAAAAAGGAGTTCGAGCTCATTCCTTCGAGCGTAAACCTTCGGCGCACACTAACCGTAGACGGCATATGATTTGCTAAGTGCTTCAGTCACTTTAGGATAGCAAATATGCGAAATAAAATTAATTCAAAAATTTCGTCTATTTATACTCCTTTATTGTCAAAGCAGTAATTTATTGAATCCATCTTAGTACTGCGTAAACAAGTCTGATAAGATATGCACTTGGAAACTTACCAACTTAGCAAAAAGAATTGAATTAACGAATTTATTTGTGTATGAACGAAATTAGTAAAAGTGGCACCGATGAATATACTCTTATTAGGCCATTATGAGCAATGAGTAAAAGTGAAAACAGTGTTGTGCTATTTTTACTTTACGAAGTTAAAGTACCTTTCACATTTTCATCATAAGGAAATGCGCAGGGACACAAATCAATGGATTAATAACCGTTTGGCTGTGAAAATGAATTCACAGCTTCAATCCACCCCTTTACTGTGATCCGAATATGGGAGCTTGATACATCATTGTACTTTTTACCATCTCTGCGTTTATTTAATAGGTACAAGTTTAAACAACGCGAAATAGTTGTATATAGTCATTCTAAGTAATTTAATTTTGACACCTAGGAGTGAATATGCAACATAAAAATATCAAGCCAACCCGATAGCGCAGCTAGGAATTAAGCAAAATTGAAACTTTGCAAGAAGCTGGCACATATGAGCCTTCATTTAATAGAGGTGCAATCACAATACATTTTCAGCATACTTCCAAAATATAATGTGAAAATCAGCAAATTTACCCTAATAATGGAATGAATCAATCAAATCTCGGATTTTTGGTTCGAATTACAAAGAGTGCGTTAAAGATGTAAGAAGTTTTTTCCTTGGATCTATTGAAAGTAAAAATGATCCTCAAAAACCAAATTGGGGTGAGAGATATTTGGCTTCCAATAGCATTATTGGTGAGGGAAATTAAAGATTAAAAAAACGGACATTTTGACAAGAAAATGGGAAATAGGTTTATTACCTTCCTCTATTGTTCAACGGATCTTCTTGGCTTGAGACACTTACTATCGTCTGGATTAAATGCCTACTAGTTTTGATTAACTTCAATTGATGCTGAATTGAGGTTTTTGCCATTGGATTATGGGAAGTGCGATAAACTTACAAATTTATGAGCACATTGAATGAAAATTTCATCTACCGGCGTTGCAAACCGGGTGGTCAGACATTGCAGATGTAGTCTAATTATCCATATCCCACCGTTTGTAAAATAAATAAACCAGCATTGATTATTGTGCAATTGATAGAAGTCAAGTGATTTAAATACTCATTCTTGGTTGAAGAGAAAGTAGTGTGAAGAAACTGGTGTTAAGTCGTCCTCTTGTGGCTAATATCAGTTTAAATTGGAATAGATATTGGCTATGTCTCTAATGCCTAAAACAGCTCTTTCAAATGTTATAATATGTCCTTGTTTTTTTTCCACAGAAATCCATGAGATTCAGAAGGGCTCAAAATAGAACTTATGTAATTAAGAAAGGAAGAAATCAGCCTCCACAACAAACCCTCGTAAGTTCAACCGTCGTACCTCAATTTAATTTACTTCCCTATAAGTGCATACTGGCTTTATTCAATGAAAGAAATAAAAATGGCCAAACCATTAAAACCCTCGTTGAAGAGTTGGCTAGTTTGAATTTAAGAGGTACATAAACGATTGGATATTTATTTTCGGTTATCTTTCGGGAAATTGATTTAGGAGAAATTAAGAGACGTAGTTCATCTGAGGGTTATGTAAAACTCGCTTAGATAAATTAATTATCAGTATCTCATGGCTTTTTCATGACTTTTACAGTATTGGTACTTGACATTTTAAGAGTTGAATAAAATACAAAAGATTAGTAGAACCGAGAACGCATTTAAAAGTAAGATCAATGCGTGAGTAAACAATAGCAGTTATCCTATTGTTTACTAACAGTTGGATTCCAAAGCCCCTTATTCGCGAAAGAAAACATTCTAATTATATACTCAGCCAAAATATCCATTTTATTATGAATACTATGCCGTGATATTATATTTTCACTCTGAAATTATGTGACTTAACTTGACTTGTTTGCAGAAAAAACGGAATTTCCGCCTTGATTGACGTCCACCTCAAAGGGAAGAGATTTCAAAAATATGAGTCAATCCTATTATCAGGTTTATAATCATATTTTTCAGCTCTAGAGCAGAAAAGCAATACGTCCACCATTGTCAGTAGCGCAAAACCGAAATGGAAATGAACTCTCTGGTCACGGTAGCATTTGCATGTCACTGCATGTCGATGTAATAACAGAAAAGCAGCCTTTCACGTAGAGCAGATTAAGTGGGAAGAGGGTAAGAGACTGCGATAGACAGCTTGGTTTTTCTGCGTTTGGGCTTACTTCCCATTAAAAGATTGGGATACTCACAATCAGCGTTAGAATGGTGAATATTATCAATTTCACTCATATGAACCCGAATTAACTTGTCAGCTTCCAAACAATTTTATTAACGACCAGTTACATTGTCCTATTAATTGTATGCAAATATGATTAGGTTTGAAGCTCTTGGCTTTGCAATTTGTCCAGTTATCACCTCTAACAGCAATGTGGACTGATGAAATATTTGTAAGGGTTGCAACAAAATTATAGTAGATTCTTCCATTCCTCGAAGTTCCCTTTTTTGTAATTCCTCTTCGAGGTACAAAATATAACCATTAACAAGACCATCAAACTCCAATTGAAACGTTGCATCCAAAATGTTGAGTGCGCAAAGACGGCGTTGCTCGAAGAAGTCCCTTTCAATTGTTTTTTTGAAGGCCATTTTTGTGTCTATTGACCCATCGCTTAATCAAATGAAATGCCCTGCTGTGAAGGAAGGTTAGATCCTCAATAATTTCATCCGTTTCGTTGTATTCACGTTCAGCTTAATAGAAAAGGCCAACAATTATACCAATGCATCTCTCATGACCTGTGCCTTTGCCTTTGCCAACTGTGAAAGAAAAACGCCAAAGCTGGAGGCCTCAACTATTTCAGGAAAATGGCAATAAATAAGACTTAAACCCAGTGAAACATATGCCATTCTGTAGAGTGGTACTCCTACTACTTTAGAGTATTCTTTTATAAAATCTCAATAATAATAATATTGGAGGAGTAAACATACAGTCAGACTGTGTATACACTCAAAGGGCATAAAAATGTCGTTGTCCTGCCAGTTACGTTAAACTAGACACAGTAGGTAATGAAATTGCTCCCCAATTTATACATAACAGTACAAGCATGTACTCAAAATAGTGGAATTAAAATGCGCGACATTCTTCTTGATGGACACAATAGATCAGCTAGTTTCTGATATTGTGGACCGTCGATAAATACAAGGCATACATTTTCCTACAACAAGATGAAGGGCAATTCTCTAACAGAAATTGGCAATGTGATTATCTCCGGAACTTGTAGTTAAAGCGTTAGTGAGTAAGTGAGTAGTGAATGTTAAGAAACGCAAGAATGACAAAACATGGCTTGCTCATTGCTTACTTCAAATCGGCTAGCACAGCTATAAGAAGAACGGGAAAACTGATTTGGCATCAATTAACGAACACGCGACTTACATTCAAACTATCTTTGAAGCAACTTCATTCGACATAGAATGTCATTTTCCAAAGACATAATCTACCCATCTGAGATTCTAAACTTTATCCTCATGATTAGCAAAAATGGGTAAAATATCGTGTTAAATTCAAATAAGTTACAATTAGGCTCATAAATAAGTGTTCTTAGCTGAATTAATTTTAAGTTTCAAATAGAATTGAAGTCAAAGGTATACAAATGGATAACAAAATGTATAGAAACAATAGGGCTTAGTTAAAAATCGATTTTTCTCATTTTTGGCCGACAAAGGACATAGAATAAACCTAAAATCAACATAAAATAAGCGTGCTTGTTTTGCTTTTATCGCCACTTCTCGAAACTTCCTCTTATCAGCTATACCCACCATAAACGTTGTTAGGAGAGCCACCTTTTCAACATCCTAATAAGAAAACGCGAATGCAGTGCAAAGTAAGATTGGAGAAGAAATAGACTCCCAGGGTTTGAAAATTCAACAATCCAACTTACATTCCCATTTCCCTCCATATTGAAAATAAACGGATTTACTACAAAATATCAATTTAAGTGTGCCTGGAAAGCTCTGCCAAATGGTATTAATGAATTTTGAAGGCGGTGGGAGGGTGTAGGGGAATGTTAAAGCTTGAATGTCAATCCATTTGGAAGTGATATTTCCAATTCTGTGCAAATGACGCCAAAGCAACGTTACTTTTATACCTTTACTTGATTATATCAGAGGAGATGTCATCTGCATTCTGTGCGATCAACACTTTCATTAAATTAC